ACAGTACTCATTCATAGGAAGCTGGTTTTAAAAATAATCATGGCCGCCTTAATGGTTAAGGTATCCCCACAATGCTCTGTGGTATTTGATGGATTCCCTCCCCCCAACAAAATCTTATTGAACATGTTTTGAAAGATTTCTTTCATTTTCAGGCAGGGGTCTAGTTATCTCAGAGTTTATTACAAAGTAATGATGCATACTAACAAATGATCATCAGTTGTGTTAAGTGGGACTGGTTAATCAGTATAAATAAAAAGGAAGAAAACAAACCCATATATTGAAACTTCTACACATAAAACTTCTATTAAATTATTAAGGCATGTATGCAAAGCTCTAGGAAACTGTCTTTCTTTCTTTCTTTTTTCAGTTTTTCGAGACAGGGTTTCTCTGTAGCTTTGTTGCCTGCCCTGGAACTAGCTCTTGTAGACCAGCCTGGCCTCGAACTCACAGAGATCCACCTGCCTCTGCCTCCCGAGTGCTGGGATTAAAGGCATGGGTCATCTTAGCCCGGCCCAGAAACTGTATTTCTAATTTGATAACTCACTTTGTAAAATGTCTAAGGTCGGAGTCTCTGAGCATGCAGGGCACACTGGTGGAGGCATAAAAGGGACGTCGAGGTAGAGAGTGTCTATAGAAAGCTCATTTAGCTGAGGCTCCGAGAACTGAGGTGTTGTCAGCCGTTGCTACAGCTGCTCTGGGCTCCTAACTCAGACCCAAATACCCTGCAAGTTTTCAGGCCAAATTAGCTCCCCGCGCCAAGAAGCCACCTGGCCAGTTCTGCAGCTGCCAGAGCGTCCTCAGACAGGCTGGGGCTCATCAGTGTCACTATTTTAAGAACTGCTGTAAGGAAACCACTTTACTGTCGTGCTTGGTGAGGCCAACCTTTAAACATGAGACTTGGTCATCTTATTAGTGTGATAATAATGAAAATTCTCTATATGCTCTGACCCGACTTTCTCTATTCTGAAACCTAATACTAGGACAAATTGCATCGAATCGCCATCTTGATGCCTCTAGGCACATTAAACGAAATGTCTCTAAACCTGTTGGTTCTTAACCCTAAAGCTCTTCTTGCAATCTTGCCTATCTTAGAAAATGACAACTTCAGTTGCTTCCTGACTTCTCTCTCTTTTTTCCTTGCATAGAATGCATCAGAGAACAGTGCCCGGTCCTCTTCTAGAACACTCTGGAGCCAATCACTCCTCAGCGTGGCCTACCACTGTGCCAGCGCAAGTCACTCTGAGATCTTCACCTTATTTTTGTGGATCCTTAATTGCTCTCCTTGCTTCCACACTTCCTCTAGTACCATCAGAATAGATGTTCTCACATAATACCACGTTTGTCTGTCCAAAACTCTTCCAGAAACTTTCCTCTCACCCAAATTAAACCGCAAGGCTACCAATACTCTTCCCTCGCCCTGCCGTGATCCCATTCTTTGGCTGTCTACTTCTCCCACTCCTCTACACCCTTGAAGAGCTCACTGTCATTTTTGAGCACGTCAAACACCATCTTGTCTGTGCTGCTGGACCTGCGTCTCCCTCTTCCTGTTACCAACAACTGGTCCCCAAACATCATTCAAGCCCCTCACTCTCTGGGGACCATATTTAGACATCGTCTTGCTGGAACAGTTGACTCTAAGACAGCGCCTTGTGCAAAGGGAATCACCTTCTTGTCATCTACTGCTCTTTCACTTTGTAACGTGTTAACTTGATGCAATCTAAAACTTTAGAATTCTGTGTTCTCCAATTCCACCATGCATGCAAGAGTCTGGCCTAGTTCCCACTTGTCTAGTCCAAGTCTGAAAAGCGGTATAATAATAAACATAGCTGTATTATTGCTAAGTGAAAGACCACTGTGGCACCTTCTTTATAGGAATGGTATGTGTTGGGAGGAGGATACAGCAAGGTTTTCTTTCAATTTCAAGAAGCTACCAGCTCGGTGGTCCAAGTCATGCCCCTGGAGTTGTGAGGAGTCGAGCTGGAAGGAAACCATGGTTAACATAAGGTTGAAAGCTTCTTTGTGCCTATCCACGTGGCAAACTGAATTCCGGGCTCCCTCAAGATCTGCTTAGTGGAAATGGAGATTTTCTGGTTAATCGTTTTCTCCAAGCCAGTCAAAAGCAAGCTACAGACAGACAGACTGCCTTGTCGGCACTCAATGCCTCCGACACACAGACCTCTCCCAAGGATGCTCTTTTACAAAACTGCAATATAAACTTCCCAGTCAGGAGATCACCTCATAAACGCAGCCTGCAGACTTCGTCCAAATGTCTCGCAATTGTTTATTTTCCCATCGACACCAGGACCCCGTCCAGAATCATTTGCTGCTTTGGCTGTGACAACTGATTCTCTTCAAGTGGGATCTGCTGGTTCTGTCTTTCGTTAGCCTCAGAGTCTTAGCACAGCCCCTTCGTTTCACAGCATAGATCCAGAGCCCGTTTTGTGTTTCCTGGTGCGCAGACCTGGGGTGTGGATGTGACAAGATGGCGCTGTGGCTGCCCGTGCACCTCACCAAGAAACAAACCCTGGGGTTCGTCCTATGGCTGATGGTCTGCACCATGGACACGCAGTCTGCTTTGAGTCTTCCGCGGTTCTCTTCAGTAAATAACAGCTGCCCCTTGTAAAACGGTATTTTTAGAAGATACTTGGCTAACACCCTGATTAGCATCAAATGCCTACCTCCTCAGCTTTGTTACCTGCCCATGACTCCCACCTGACACCAGCCCTGTCAAACAGAGCCTTCCTGTGCCGTCACTCCCCAGGGGCAGGCATCGCCACCGTTCAGAAGCGCAGCTTCTTCTCCCTAATTTGTTTACGTCATCGCTTATTTATATTGGCATAGGTTGGCTTCTTATTTGTTAGGTTTTAATCAGTTACTATCTTCATTCCAATGGTTAAGTTGGTCTAGGTTTGCCTGAGAGCCCTTTCCAACAGGACATACTCCAGTCATGCTTTTTGAGAACGCTCCTATGATAATGTTCAGGATTTGTTTGTACTTTCTCAGAGGCAGCCCCAGACTCAACTCTGACTCTGTATAAGGGATGGGGCCTATCCTTATACGGGAGGGTGCCATGGAGAAAGCGAGATCTTGGGCCCCTCTGGTGCATCCTTTGCTTCCAGGCTCTGAATAGAAGGAATGCTGGGTGTGTGTCTCCCTATGCATGCACTCACGCACATATAAACGTAGGTGATAGCTTTTTAAAAAAGAATTCCAAATCAATTTTAACCCAATCCAAAATTTCAGGATTATTTAAAAGTTTCTCTCTTTGCAAATTTTGCTACCCACTGTATAACTAAACAAAATAAATAATTTAAAAACTTGCCCTCTGCTTTACTTAATATTTTACTTTATTTGCTCCATAGCCCTAATTTGGCAATCTCGTGGTCTAAGCTGCCTTTTCAACCTTCTGCCCTAGCTTTTTGGAGGAAAATTGAGGGGACAATGTGCTAGTGTTTTTTGTTTTTTTTTTTTTTTTTTTTTGGAATTTTCAAGACAGGGTTTCTCCGTAGCTTTTTTGGTTCCTGTCCTGGAACTAGCTCTTATAGACCAGGCTGGCCTCGAACTCACAGAGATCCACCTGCCTCTGCCTCCCAAGTGCTGGGATTAAAGGTGTGCACCACCACCGCCCGGCGTGCTAGTGTATTCTTAATGACGCCTCCTCACACCCTATGGCTGGGGGAAAATGCTAAGAGGTAGAGAGATTCAGAGCATCCTCCTGGAGACCTGTAGCCCATGGGCTCTTCTCCCAGGTTCCAGGGCTCAGGAGCCAGCGGCCACACCCACCTCCCCAACACTGTTCTAATTACCTAAAGGCCTATTTTTTTTAAAACAAGGAATAAGCTGGAAGCGCATACAAATCCAGCACACCAAATACCATAGAGACTGATTCTTCTTTCTAAGTCTCTCGTGTGCCTCCTTCTAATTTGGATACACCTGGGTTCTCTCTGCTCCCCTAGCAACTACGAGCTTCCCAGAGAAGCTGCGAGGCTAAGTAGACAAGAAGGAGGTACACGTGTTAAGGTCCTGGGGGAAAGTGAACTTTCTTTTTCTTTTAATGAATTGGACCTTGTTTCCCTGAAAGGGCGCCACGTGGAAAGGATAATGTGGGTGACTGCGAACCATGACATAAATATATAAGGAAATAGACACTTTCCGTTACTGGTAGCTGAAGCTATGGAAACCACTGGCGAGGAGTTGTAACAACCGCCCAGACATCTAATTGGTAAGGAATTCTGCTCTTCAACACGACTCCAGAGAAAACTATTCTCTGCTGGCTTAATCTCTGCGTACAGCAGGAGAACGCACTCTAAAACGGTAACCCAAACAGGACCCAAACATGCCTCCTTGCCTGCTGAGGCTGTCCGTCAGTCCTTTACCGCAGGTCATGGCTGCTACAAAGAGAACACATTTGCAAAATGTCCCAGTTGGAGTCTTAAAGTCTGAGAAAGGATACACTTTCTAGGTAACAATGGCCAGGTATTGACTTCCAGATGAGAGGAGGGTTGTCTCCCCTATCTACACCACAGACTGGTCCCTAGACCAGCAAACGCACATCGCCAACGACCCCACCCCCGACCCTATGAACCTTCCTTAGAGCGGATCAGTCCTGGTTTTAAAATGGGATTCTGACAGCCACTGGCCTAGATATTCAGTATTAGGGGAAAGGGTCTCGAGAACAACCAGACCTGGGACCTTCTTCACATCTTCCAGCGAACGGAAGTGCGAGAGAGGTGCAAACACTTCGCTGCACTCAATGCCCTGGCAGTTGTGCCCAACGCAAAAGCCCAAGCAAAGTTCTTTTTTTCCCCCAACTGATCAAAGTGGCAGGCTGAGACTGAATTTGAAGCCCGGCAGAGGTCGCTGACGCCCAGGAAGAGAGACAGAATGAGCGTGGCAAGGGGAGTCCAGGAGCTTTGACATCATACTAAGCTCCTCCTCGCACGCACACATTACACACACACACACACACACACACACACACACACCATATACAGTCACGCACAAATCGTTGTACCCTTCTCCGCACGCCCCCATCCCATCCGCCCCATACAGTCCCCTCCCTCAGCAAGTAGGTGTCCCGGGCGTAGCCACCTAGTCGGGCCAGGGGTGCAGCGCCCACTGCCTAGGGAACCCACGCGTAGCGGAGCAATCAGCACGACTTCAGTCCCAGCGCCCGGGACCTCAAGCAACCTGCTCCCGCCCCGCCCGACTACGAGCAGAGCCGCCACCCCTTCCAAACTCCAGGACCCCCGTCACCCTTATGAGAGAAGGCGACGCAGAGCAAAGGAGCAGGACGCCCGGCAGCCCGACTCTCCCGCAAGCGCGCGCAGCGCCCGCTCCGTGTCGCCGCCGCGATCACCCGGGAAGCCCGATGCCAGCGCCGCGCATCGGCTGAGAAGGGACAGGGCCGGCTTCGCCTGCTCGCCCGGAATCCGGTCTCCGCCGCGGCTGCGTGTCCCTGCTGGGGCCCCGCCGGCCCGGGAGTGAACCGCTGCGACCGGCCGGGGGTTGGCCCGGGCAGGGGAAGGAGGGACGGAGCGGGAGGAGGGCACGGGGGGCGGGGAGGGGACCCTGGAGGAGAGAGATGGCAATGTCTCTCATCCAAGCGTGCCGCAGTCTGGCTCTCTCAACATGGCTGCTTTCCTTTTGTTTCGTGCATCTGCTCTGCCTGGACTTCACGGTGGCGGAGAAGGAGGAATGGTACACCGCCTTCGTGAACATCACCTATGCCGAGCCCGAGCCGGGGGCCGCGGTGGCGGGCGGCGGTGGCGGTGCCGAGCTGCACACGGAGAAGACCGAGTGCGGACGGTACGGCGAGCACTCGCCCAAGCAGGATGCGCGCGGCGAGGTGGTCATGGCCAGCTCGGCCCACGATCGCCTGGCTTGCGACCCCAACACCAAGTTCGCCATTCCGGCACACGGCAAGCACTGGATAGCTCTGATCCCCAAGGGCAACTGCACCTACAAGGATAAGATCCGGAACGCGTTCCTACAGAATGCATCGGCCGTGGTCATCTTCAACGTGGGCTCCAACACCAACGAGACCATCACCATGTCCCACGCAGGTGAGCGACCGGGGAATGAGGGGGGGGGGAAGAATGCGTGGAGACGTGGGGGAGGGGAGCTCGAGTAACGTTTGGGAGACCCAGCGCAGCCTCCCCCGGCACCTCCACTTGGAAAGTCCGTGTCGCACCGGAGACCCGTCTCTTAAATATGAACCTACTAAGTTTTGTTATGCGTCGCTTGGGGACACGGAAGGAGGCTACAAGCAGAAGAGATTTCAGTATGTTGGAGAACATTAGAGAGTCTGGTTTGGAAGCGGGTTCACAGTGGTAGGGAATTCCCAGGAGAATTTGGGAAGTGACGTTTTGGGGACAAGGCTGGCATATTCTTGTTAGTGATCCGCCCTGGCACCTGTTTGGACCCGGAAGATCTGATAACTCAGCTGTGTGCTTCTCCGTGTGCCTCAGATATGCATACCCGGTGCGAGTGTTCGGGTAGCAAGGGGCAGGTCAGGTTACCTGCCTGCAGCTGACCACTTGCAAATGCTCCCACAAAGTCAGGTTTCAGCCCTTCTCGGGAGCCCCTTCTTCCCCTTGTTGACTTTGCACAGACCATAAATAATATTCAATGTACCGGCTCTGCCGGGCTGTCATCTCGAGAAGCCCACTGGCCAGGAGCACTGGTGAAGACTAGCAATGCCCACCAAGCCAGGGAGAGCCGTAAAGTTAGACTTACTTTCTACTGCTGTGCTGGCCTTTGCCTGCCTGTTTCGGTATGCGGAGGACTGCAGGGCAGAATGGAGCTTTGTCGGCGACCACAGGGACCGGGACTAGAAATAAACCTTCAACACAGTCTGTAAGCAGTGTTTCAGAGAGCCGAGTAATAGAAGTAACAAGGCTGCGTGGCTCACAATTGTTAGCACAAGCCACTGGTTTAGAAAACTACCCTCCTGGAGAGCAAGTTTCTACAGAGGTGCCTGAGAGGTGGGTCCTTTCCCCTCACAGGGTGTCCTGACAGGAGCATGTTCTGAGTGGAGTAGCCCAAGCAAAACTATTATAGCAAGTAAAGAGCAGATTTTTAACCAGCAGACTGTTGAGATAGAACACCTAGAGTGGTTGTGTGCAACCCTGCTTTCTTTAGAGGGAGGTTTTCCTTTGAAGAGGTCATATTGTCTATTAGTGAAACATACAATTAATTCGCCCCAAGTAATCAACACCAGCTGTTATAGTCAAGGCCCTTTGTCAACCTTCAGGCAAACAGGTTGGGAGCAGAAATGCCAGAAGCTTATGAAAAACAGGCCAGGAACCTGTGCCGTGTTTGTGAAGAGAGGTTGTTACCTTCTTAGAACAGTTCCAGTCCTGCATGTGAGAGGCATTTGCTGCATTTCCTTGAGCTCAACCCTTCTCCCAGGGAGAGGCCTGTGGTCTGACCTTGAGTCATGGGACCACAGCTTAAACTTGATCTCCCGAGGATGTCTCACCGTGGAATAGCGCTCCGAGTCACATAAAGCACTTCTCAATGAACATTTAGTAAGGGAAATCTAGACTCGGGAGTGGGAAGTAGGGCATGCAGGAGTTATTCTGGGTTCTGTAAACACTGAGGTTGTTAGCTGAATGTACAGGATTCCTTAAATGCTTCTCTGAGTCTGGACATGGAATCCTAAACTGCGTTGCTCCGTGCACAACAGACTAGTTGTCATTTGTTCCTGTCCAAGAGACTGTTTTCAGAACCGCAGACACATTGGATCAATTAGTGGCATAATTTGATTTTCTATACAAAGGATGCTTAACGCATGCTGAGAGGGAAGGGCTTGGTGATAATCTAAAAGTTAGAAGCCCCCAGAATGTATTTCTCCATCTCAAAAAAAAAAAAAAACCCACAAATCCAAAACCTTGTTAAAGTTGCATCTGCTGTTAACATTGGACTCCCTGTCATGCCTTGGAGAAGGTCCTGCACTGGTCAGAGCAGGAGTCTTCTACAGGACAGGGTGATGTACAGGATGCGCACACTGGCCAGCCAGTCGATGGCTTACACTTGCTCTAGGACCCGAAGAGTCCGTTTCTCCTCATTACATGTGAGTCCGACGTGGGAATTCACGTAGGAAACCATGTACAGATTAGATGTCAATGGAATATTCCTATTTCATGAGCTTGAACGCAGGACACCAGGGGACACAGTTGTGGCCTTTTTAATCTCGTCCCTGAGAAATGTGGAGCATTTCCTCGCCTTTCCATCGATGCCCTGATTTCTGGAGCTGATGGCTTCGGGGAAAGAAGGCTTGGAACTGGAATTCAGGAGCCCAGCTAGTGTCTGTGCGTCTGGTATGATAGACCACTAACACACCCAAGAAACACGGGTCCAGTTAAATAGAAGTTCTTTCTTCACTCTCCCTCTTTTCCTCCATGTTCTTCCAGATGTTTTCTTTTTGAGTTTCTGCCACTTCTGCAGCTGTCACCCCTCAGTCACAAAGACGCGGACGTTCCTGATGCCAATGGCAGTTTATTTAATAGTGGGTTACTCAGCCTCACTGGTATAGGGTTTTCCCATTATGAAATTCATTCTTCAGACAGTTTCACGCTGCTTCATGCACTGGCTGAGCTAGATGCTCCCTAGACCGCCTGATCCCAAGGATACGTCTACCTGTTCGCAGTTGTTTGGCTGTACCTGTGCAGCCCGTCCCCGTCAAACGCTAGCCTGCTCGCTTTCCTCCATCTCTGTGTATTTGTCTCTCGAGCACAGGATATACATGCGTTCTCTAATATGCAGACTTGGTCTAGTTTCTCTCACATCCCACACTCTTCCCTGGGTTTACCATGGTTGTATTAAGTGCCACTGATTACTGTTTCATTTTACTACCAAATAGTATTTCACATTTTATTTGTTGTAAATTGACGGGCATTAGGCCATGCACACGTGCGTGCGTGCGTGCGTGCGTGTGTGTGTGCGCGCACACAGGTACACTCCTGTACATGTGTGTATTCCTCTTAGTTTTATTTTTAGGAGTAGGATTTCTGGGTTCCATGGCCACTCTGTGACTTTTGAGGAACTGCCACATCCCTTCCTCGTACTGGTTAGCGTCTCAAGTGTCACCTTGGCACAGGCTAGGATCATCTCGGGAGAGGGAGCCTCAGCCGAGAGAATGCTCAGTAAGATGGGCCTGTAGGCAAATCTGTAGGGTATTTTTCCTGATTGAGGATGTGTGAGGGCCCAGCCCACCGTGGGTAGTGCCGTGCAAAGGCAGATTCTCCTGGGAGGTAAATTAAATCAACCTGAGCATAAGCCTGGCAAGCAAGCCTGTAAGCAGTGTTCCTCTGTGGTCTCCACCTCCATGACTTGAATTCCTGTCCTGACTTCCCTCAGTGATGCGCCGTGACCTGAAGGTCGTAAGATGAGATAAACGCTGTCTCTCCTGGGTTGCTTTCAACCGTGGTCTTTATCACAGCAACGGAAAGCAGACCGCGGCTTTCCTTAAGTACCTAAGTCATTTCCTATCACTGCCACCTGTGATGAGTGTCGTTCCCTGAACCTCCCTCCTTGGGACTTGTTAACCATGTTTAAATCAAGGTTAGTGTGAGGTGTGAGGTGGTGTCTTCATATGGTTTCATTTTGATGACAGTTGCTTTTTTTCAGGCGTGGTCTTGCCACATAGCCCAGGCTGGCTGCAAACCCACACCCCCCCCCCCAGCATCAGCTACAGAACCCTGCAGTTAGAGCTGGGCCACTGTGCCTAGCTCAACAGTTCCTTCTTTGGAACACGCTCTTGAGTCAATGCTTCCCTTTTCATTTTGTTCTCCTGCCCACTTACGTCAGCCGGCACTTGCTCTTTCCTAGACTTTCAATTCCTGTCGATTTTGTCCAGGAGAGGTGGGAAAGAAGGAAAAGGAGGGGGCGGAAGAGACAGGGGAGCAGGGGAGGGCAGAAATGCATACTTCTCAGTGAGGGCTGGTACAGCTGAATTTGTGTGTCCTCTATAGACAGGTAGGAGGTGCAGTGTCTTTAGAGAAAGCCTCCAGGAGCCAGAGCAAGCAGCTCTGGGCCACCTCCCCCTGGTGCAAGCCCAGATGCTCACAAAAGTTGGTCTGAGGCTTGCCTCAGAGCTTTATTCCAATGTTCTTCGAGGAAGGGCAGCAGGCCTTCATGGGGAGCAGATTAAGCAGAACAGGACTCTAGAGGAGACCACTGGGCTTGTATCCTGGCGTTGCACTTTTCATGCTGTGTGAGTTTGAGTAACTTATTCAACCTCCCAGGGCTTAAGTGTCCTCCCCTGTGACAGAGGGGTCACCTGGACTGATGGCTACATGAATTTCATGGGTTAGTTCACAGGTATCTCCATCTTACCTGCATCTGAGCTGGCCCACAGCAGAGGTCTCTCATCGAACCCGGAACTCACCATTTGGGTAGGATACCTGGTTAGCAGACCCTAGGACCCACCTGTCACCACCCTCTTGGGTTGGCTTTTGTATGTGGTTGCCAGGGATCTGAACTCAGGTTTTTGTGATTGAAAACGCTTGATCTACTGGGTCTTCTCCCCAGTCCCAGCGTCAACTGTGGTAACTCAGTGACACATAGCAATGAGAAGCAGCTATAGAATAGACCACCATCTCCCTAGCTCTGGAAACCTTAAGAAAGAACTCCTAAGTCATTCTTTTATGCTTTAGTGATGGAGCAGCCATCGCATTCCCATTGGCCACCTCCCCTGTCGGAAAGAGGATGCTCTGCCCCTCTGATCATCGGGGAGCTTTGTATGTGATGACTTCACTGTCATCACCGTGAAGATCACTTGCTATCTGTGGTGAATCCCCGTGTGAGCAGCTGTCCGTATCTGAGTTACTTTATGGAAGAAGTGATATTTTCCCGTTTCAAAGGATGGATTTGTTATCTTTCTGATTATCGACCACTAGTACATAGCTAAGAGGTAAATAAATCTTTGGATGGCTCCGGAGAGAGGGGAAGGGAAGGGAGGCTGCATAAGCTACGGATCATCTTCAGGGCTTGGAAAGAGGCAGATAGAGAATTCCACCTATTCCTGACTTCTCCCAGGTGGGAGGGAGCACAGAGATGA